GCATGGGAAACCACCATTACTCCCGCTCCACCCCTGGGCACCCATTAATGGTGCCTCTACCATCCCTCCTGGGTGTGACAACTACCATTATGCCTCACCCCTACCCCAGTCTCCAATTCCTCCTCCCCCCCGCATCTACACAGGATCCAAGCTGGATTCCAAGCAGGGAAATTAACAGAGATTTATTGTAAAACGCACTGCTGTATGTGCACAAACCAAGCATTATTAATACAAGTATACAAATGCCCATGAAGGCAGGATTGGCGCTGAGTGCAAGCAATTGCCGGTTGCATATATAGTAGTGTGCACTCTCTCAAGCTGGAACTAGAGGCAATCCATACCACTGTTCCCAGGATATGTAAATCACTTATATTGTTGGTATGATCAGAAAACCTGGAAGTTAGCAAAGGAGACAGTATTGGTTATGGAGCAGAGTGGAGGCCTTGAGATAAAGGTTTCAGCTTATACCTTGCTGCGATGCACAAAATTAAAGGGAAGATATTTTCCTTTTTTTTTTTTTTACCATGGACAGAAGGTTTATATACTGTTTCTCTGCTTTACAGGCCCATCTGCACAAGTACATATCACCCACCCTTGCAGAAGGTTATTGACTGTCAGTGCCAGGCTACTGAATCAGAAAGCAGAAGGAGGAAGACAACAGACAGACTGCTGATGGAGATGCATAAGGACTTTGGTGGAAGGTGTCACTGCCTTTTCTTGCTTCAGAGGGGGAAATGCTGGAGCAGGAGTGGCAATTCCAGACTGCAGCTGAGAGGATGCTGAAGAAAAGAACTCATGATGACCTAGTACATCGCTCATGACCATGCCATATAAGAGCAAGACACCCAGCAGCAGTGTGAGGAGAGTCAGAAGCAAATGGTCATGTTTCTAAGCATTATGGCCAGCAGGTGACAGAACAACCTGGCCCCTGTACTAGCCCAGGTTCAGCACCAGTCTCATCCTACAACCACACACTCTCCTTCATGATCCCACAAGCTGCAGCTAGTGACCCCAGGATAGGGGGTTTGCCAGTTCCATGGTCAGGTTTACCTTCATCACCCCACCCCCATGTAACAATGGTGGAATGATAACCACGTGCACTCTCCATATATATGACATGGCACAGTGCCACTTGGGTGCATGACACTTGGCTTAAAGCAGAAGGACTGCTAGTGTGATTTATTTTGAATAAAATCTTTCTTTGTTGAATCCTTTGTTTCTGTGAGTGCTTTGGCCACACGAGAGAGGAAGGGGAACTTAACAACACAGTTTTATTCCGGCATCACCATCACAATTAATGCACTTTAAGAGAAATCTTTCCTATGTGGGAACACTGATACAGACCAGCTGCCTCTGCTGCTCCTACCCAGCCAGGGGAACTAGGAGCTGGACGGGGGGAAAGGATTGGGCCCCTGGAGCTGCCATCTCTTGCCTCACACCAGCTGCCTCTGCCACTGTAAACCCGGCATGGGGACTAGGAGAGCTGGTTGAGAAAAAGCCATGGATCCCGCCCATTGTTCAAGATTTGGATTTCCAACAGAATGCAGACAATCAACACGTGCGGAAGTGAGGTGCTGCAGTAAGCTGCCAGGTAAACACTACTTCAACCCATATGACTAGGAGGGACAAAAAATGGTTTCCTGAAATACATCATGGAAGTTTGGAAGGAACGGCTTGGAATAGCGCAGTGCTAAGAACTAAGGGTTATGCCCCCAGAAGGCAATCTCCTTTGCTTGAGTCAGTACTGCAACCATGTGCACACAGTAACTTGAGGATGGCTGAGGTAGCCTTTGCTGTGTGGCCCCAACCTAGGCTAACGCAAGTGTAGTACTTTAAGTATTCTAACTGGAACTAACAATGCAGTGAAGACAAGCCCAGAGCAAGGGAGAATGGAAAGAAATGATACTAGCAAAGCAGTGACACAAGCTTACTCTTAAGATTAGAAGCTCTGAGATGTCTGTATATCACTGGCTATGACATTATGTAGCTGGAAATGCTTCCTGGGCCAAGAAGAATATTGTTTTCTGCAAATGCTTTCATTGGTTGTGTGTATTGCTTACACTTATCTGCTCTTAATAATATGATACTTTGCTATTCCAAAACTTCTTTGTGTGTTGATTAAGGAAGGAAGCAGAAGAAGAATTTTTTTCAGCTGTAGCTTCAGTTTGCCAAGAAGTCCTAAGCAGTTTGCTCTCATCTACAGCCAGAATTAATCGTAAAATGTCCTATAATGATGAATCCCCAGAATACAATTAAGTTTCATTATTTTGCAAATTGCATCCCAGTAGCTCTTTGTGTCACCCTCACCCCTCATTATCTGTGCATGCTTTTCTAATATTTTGTCATATCATGAGTTAGAGTTATCTGCCCCTTGGCTGCCAGACTAAATGGTCTTCCTTGTAAATAGATAGACAAGGTGGGTGAGGTGATGTCTTTTATTGGACTAAGTTCTGTTGGTGAGAGAGACAAGCTTTCGACCCACATTGAGCTCTCTACAGCTTGAAAGCTTGTCTCTCTCACCAACAGAAGGTCCAATAAAAGAGATCACCTCACCACCTTGTCTCGCTAATATCCTGGGACCAACACGGCTACAATTACACTCCCTTCAAAATAGGGTTTCAATGAACCACCAAATAGTGTTATAGCTTTCAGGTAGGTTAGCTGCAGCATTCTCTGCCCAAATGCAAAACTGTTGAGAAAATATAAAGGTAATTTTTTAAAGCTTTGCATGAGATTTATAGCTGGTGAACTATTAAATCCAGAAATTAAAACTCTCTTCAGTACTTGGAAATTTTATCTTTAAAAGTCAGGGAATTAATTCCTGCCCTTTGTCTGATCCCCTGCATCAAAAACAAAGGGAATGGTGCTCTCATTCACAGGTGAGTCACTATCTTCCTATAGCTGGACATCAGAAAATTTAATTAAAGTATGTTGGGCCTGATTCTCCATTGCCCTGAATCTTGTATAGTCATTTACACAAGTTCAAAGTGAGATTCCCACTAGCGTTAACTTTAATCAGCTACATCGGGGGTTCTCAAGCTGAGGGTCGTGACCCTTCAGGGGGTTGTGAGGTTATTACATGTGGGTCGTGAGCTGTCAGCCTCCACCCCCAAACCCTGTTTCGCTTGCAGCATTTATTACAGAGTTAAATATAAAAAATGTGTTCTTAATATATAACGTGGGGGGGGTTGCACTCAGAGGCTTGCTGTGTGAAAAGTTTGTGAACTACTGAGCTACATTGAGGCAAAAGGCATTAACTTGCATCTACACTAGGGAAAAGGTTTTGGTTAGGTCTGGATTAGCTAATTTGTTGGGTAACTCTGACCTACCCTCGTCCTCTTTTCCTAATATAGACAAATTGCAAGTCAGGGTTCAGGTGCATTAGTGGGCTGGCATAGAGACACTTTGATTGTTCCATTTGTGCTGCACCTGTTCAATGTACCAGAAGAGGACTTTGGTTTCCAGTGCTGTCAATGTAGGATGTTTCATGTTTCACTGTAATAACTTTGGGCTAAATTCAGCCTTCAGATGTTCACAGGCAAATCCTATTGAAGTCAATGGGAGTTTGGCCCTTTGTTATTCACAGACGTAAAATAGTTTCACCAGCATGAAAGTAAGGAAATTAGTCAAATGTAAAATTAAATGTATGTGTATTATGACATAGAGGTAATAGACATTAAGATTATTTGTTGAAAAACTAAAAGCCTTCACAGGAGAGGTCACAGCCAAGTTGGTAAAGAATCACAGTGCCTCTTTCAGAAATGTATGGTATTGCCATTTTTTGCATTTTCATAATGTTTCATCCTCAAATGTGCGCACACACAAAAAATCTCATTTTAGTAAGTCAGCTAGTTCTGTAAATATATATTGCTAAAAACAAAGAAACTTCTTCTTCACTCCCCCCCTTCTATCCCTGCCCTCTCCCCCACCTTTTTTTTAACAAGGCATAAACCACAGTAAGTTAACTCTGATTTTAAGGAACTGTTGGTGCTTGTGGGGCCAAATACTGGAACTAAGAAGCAGCCCAAGTGGCTGGACTGTGCACTTTACAGGAGCTTGGGAAGAATCCTGTCCCCCTGAGGACATGTCACAGCTGCCTCTAAAATATAAGGGCTGTGTTAGTCCTGACCACTGGTGCACACGTTCACTGTTCTATAGGGAAGAGTAGCTGGTGGATATGCGTAGTCACAGGCCCACTAGAATGGGACCTGTCTCTGAACCCTGAATACTAGGCAGAGTCACAGGAAGTCCTGGCAAAGCAGAGTCTGACTGTCCACATGGCTGCATGTCCCCCAAATAGGGTCCCTAATTCCTGGGCCACTGCAGAATTGCATTGGTTCTGCTGGGTCATCTTCCTTTACAGTCACTGAGGATTTGACCCATTGAGCTTATTTGAATTTAATAGCTCTTACATAAAAATGAATTGATTTTTCTCTTCTGTTTCCAAATTGGTGGTGTTATAAGCAAAGGAATGTATGGGTTCCCTCTGGTGGGTGATGTAAAATTCAGTTATTGTAACAGTCTCTATCAGTTTGAGTAAAGTGTTGGACATTAATACTGAAGAAAGTCAGGTACTCTAGTCCTGGTGGGGTATCTTTTTGTCAATAATTTATAGTTGGTACAGTTTCTGTTCCCCCCCCCCCTTGATATGCATAAATACATTCACTCTACCAAATATTTTTTTCTAAAAAAGAAATAGTGCGTAAACAAAGCCAAGTTAGAAAGAGATTCAGCCATATAAATGTGTAATGTCTAGATAGGAAACTAGATAGAAAAGATACAATTATTTATTTGACTGCATTAAACAGGAATCAGTGTGGCTGATTTGAGCATTAGAGAATTGAAGTGTCTGTTTATGATTAGTAAATGGTCTAAAATGAGTTGTATGGGTGGGTGGATAGATGGATGGATGGATAGATAGAGAAAATGAAAGTAACAAAGAAATACCAATTTGTTTGTAAATGATTAAAGATGATAGCCTTCTCCTTTCTTTTCCTTAGAATTTCACCAGCCAAGACATTGACAGTGGTGTTGACAATAAATCTCTGTCTGCAGTATTAGACAATTTGGCAAAATGCAGCTACTATACTGTGTGGTTAACTGCAGACACTGCCTTTGGAAATGGAAACAAGACCAGTGAGATAATACACGTATATACAGATCAAGATAGTATGTAAACATCTCTATTTTAAATTTTCAAAAGTACATCCAAGCTTTTCATTATGAAATAGTTCTAGAACTTTTAAAAATTATTGCATTCTTTGGTATGAAAAGGTTAAAAAGAAGTACTACAGTGAATGCCATTTTAAAAAACTGTTTACCATACTGTAGCATTTATCTTTGCATGGGTTTGATGATATTTCCTATGCATAGAATGGGGATAGATCATTCTCATGAACCTTAGCATTAGTATCTGAAGGAGACCTCTTTGTGTCAATAGATTGAGCAGACTCTTAACTCCAAGTTCCATTTTGAACCTGTCACCATTATTTTCTCCACCTTAACTATCAGGATAACCATTATCAATACAAAACCCTACAGTTCAGCCTCTCTTTGGCCCATCTAGTTTTCATGACAATTTGAGAGTAAGCTTAATTATCAAGCAACTAATCTTTAACCCTTCCTAAAGGACATTTTGATCTGTTGAGTCTCTTCTCTTTGTAGTGTAGCATCAAAAGCAGTTTTTCTTCTCTGAGCACAAAGAGTGAGAAAATCTGTCTTAAACTATCACAAAGATTTTCTCCCCTTAATAATTAACATTAACTACAAATAGTTATGTATATATACATTCAAGATGCTTTGTTTTTTATATCAAAACATAGACGATCAAAGAAAAGCTTGTTTTATTTATAGACACGAAAATAATGTAATAAAACATTGAATACATAATGTTAGAGATTAAGTTGATCTAATAGCAACACTTTGAGTGTTTATTTTTGTTATTAGTTATGAAATATTATGTTATTATTTAGTTATGAAACTAACAGATATATTTATTTTTGCTTATTAATCCATAGTTCCAGATGGCCCTGTTGAAAGTCTGACATATCAAAATGTTTCTTCAACTGCTATAAATGTAAGCTGGCTTCCACCATCCCAGCCAAATGGTATAGTCTTCTTCCTTGTTTCACTAAGTTTATGGGATACACAAACAGACAGTGAGATATTGTCTCTCATTACTTACAATACAAGCGTGTTTTTGGATAAGCTGGAGAAGTACACCGATTATATTCTGAAAATCATTCCAGCAACAGTGAAGGGATCTTCTAAAATGCACACTGTGAAACTACACATCAAAACTGAAGAAGATGGTAGGTTTAGGATTTTTTTTAATTCCTAAAGAATTTTATTAACAGCAAATAGCCTTCTAAAAATTCTTGATCATTAGGTTGTTTTCTTATGAAATAATGTTACTGATATACTTGTTAATTCTTTTTTGTCAAATTAACTAATAAAGCAACCCACAATAACTGTTGTCATGCAGATTTATTGTAGTGCTTCATTGAGACCATGAAGTAGAAGTTAGCATTGATAAGAGAACAAAGTTAATTGATATTTAAAGATATTTTCCACCATAATTCACCTTTTTGTGGGATAACTTAGGTTTTTTTCTGTTTGTTTTCTCATTTCTTGTTATAGTCCCTGAATCTTCACCTGTAATCAGAACGTATAAGAATCTTTCATCTACCTCAGTTATGTTGTCCTGGGAGCCTCCTCTCCAACCAAATGGTATCATAATGAGTTATGATTTAAAGTTATATGGACCAGAAAGGAATGATTCTTGGTCTACCTCCAATAATTCTATCATCCTAGAAGATCTTTTACCATTTACACTGTATAGTATTTTTGCTGCTGCAAGAACTATCAGAGGACTTGGTCCCTATGCTACGCTTAACTTTTACACGGATGAGTCAGGTGAGTGATATATAAAATCATATCATGCTGTTTGGAAATAAATGTATGAAATAGAGGACCCCAGAGCTGGTGCAGAGATGTAGGGCTTCCACATGGCTGATCCTATCTTGGTTGATCCCCTAAAATCCTTGGGGCATGGGGCCAGACACTGCTTCTGTAGAAGGCAGGGAGACAAACCTGCAACATCTGGCAGACGAGTTTAGAGGGAATTCTGGGATTTCGTCCTCTTTCCACACTCTGCCTGTAGGTTTTACTGTAGGGGAGGACACACTCTGACCAAAGGCTATTTAACTCTCACTACTATGGGCCCATAGTAGTTCATTTCTCAAATTGCACAAGAAAATAAATTTGAGGTGCCCAAGAATAGTGGCATTCAATGGCTCACAGGAGCCCCTTTTAAAAATTCTGCCACCAAATTGAAAGGAAGCATGAGAGATTTCCCTGCCTTTGGCAGAATTCACCCATTATAGTGCTAAATTATCTTTCCTAGAGATTACTTTTAGCCTTGGGCTCATAAGAATACTTGAAGATCAATTTCTTTTTGCCTTTGGAATGCATCATAATTTGTCAAGTGTCAATTATTTTGGGGGAAAAACAAACAACCCACCCCACCCTCACCTCCAAAAGGAAAATATTCCTTAAAAATACTTACAGACACTTACAGGGTTTTTTTTTCACTCCTTGTTCTATTTCAGATTACATTGCACACTGTCATCCTACTCAATATATATATAAAAATGCACAAAGTAGAGAGGGGAAAAATGTGTGTATATATATGAAAGCTCTAATTTTAATTCTAGTAATCTTAGATGCTACTAGTAACAATAGTAGGTACAATATTTTAGGATACATGTGTAATATTTTGATTGTGTACCTTTCAAACTAGACTGATTGAAGTGCTAGATAAGACTATAGTAAATAGTCTAGAGGCCCTTTGGGATGGAGTATGTGATCTAATAAGTCTCTTTCATACTCTCTAGAGCACTGGAGCAAATTGCCTAGGGAGGTTGTGGAATCTCCATTGGATGTTTTTAAGAACAGGTTAGACAAACACTTGTCAGGAATGGTCTAGTTATACTTAGTCTGCCTCAGTGCAGGGGACTGGACTAGTTGACCTACTGAGGTCCCTTCCAGTCCTACATTTCTATGATTCTATAAGTGCATCTACTCCAGTGGTTCTCAAACTTTTGTACTGGTGACCTTTTCACATAGCAAGCCTCTGAGTGCGACCCCCCCCCCTTATAAATTAAAAACACTTTTAAATATATTTAACACCATTATAAATGCTAGAGGCAAAGCGGAGTTTGGGGTGGAGGCTGACAGCTCGTGACCCCCATGTAATAATCTTGCCCAACCCCCAGTTTGAGAACCTCTGATCTACTCTGTTTTTTGCCAAATATTTTCATACTTCCTTGGTTATGAAAATATGCTTTTGTTTAAATGACAGACAACATGAATAGATTATCCTGTTCCTCACCCTTACTTTCTCCAACAACATGCACCTTTGGTAAATAGAGTTTATAACAGGCAAATGGGGCAAGACTCAGGAGTTGTTGGGAGCTCTTTGTTAAAAGTGTAGCAGTACTAGATTGGTTCAGTTAAGCTCAGACACGAATGCGTAATGAATCTTTGTGATCTTTTGCTCCTACGAAGTATTCATATTTGCCTAAAATTAACATCATACATTTGAACTAATGAGCATTTTCTCCCACAGTGCCATTAGCACCTCCTCAGGATTTGGCTATTTTGAACTATAGTGCCTACTCTGTGTGGCTAAAATGGAGGCCAAGTCCTCAGCCAAATGGTGCTATTAAGAACTATAGTTTCAAGATTCATGAAAACAAGAGTCATACCATAGTTTATCAGGTATGTTTATAATATTTAGTGGTGTTTTAAGTATTTGAAAAAATATATTTTATTTTTCTGGCTATCTGACTCATGAAAAAATATATTTTATTTTTCTGGCTATCTGACTCATGAAAAAATATATTTTATTTTTCTGGCTATCTGACTCATGTCTCAAAACCAAAAATATGTAAGGCATTTTATATGCCTAGGTATGTCCTGCATTAATCAAAATTATATGAACTCATAACTTAGATGAGGTGATTTCCTTTTCTCCCTAATGTTTCCTCATAAAAGACACTGATTAAAGATGTTATGGAAATGCATGTATATTGTGGACTAAATCATATTCTTAGATACAGTCCACAGTGAGGGATTGTGTAGACGTTCACACTCCTTCTCCCTCAGCCATATAATGTCTGTTGTGGGGCCACTCACCACGCAAGGGAAATGCATCTGTTATTTCTTTGTATTGCAGTAATCAGTCCCAAACAGGGATCCAGGCTCCATTGTTCTAGACCCTGCACGTATGTGTAATTGAAAAGACAGTCCCTGCCCCAAGGCATTTACAGTCTGCTACTACAACCCATGAAGGAGTGCCCAGGATCCTGTGGAGTTGCGGGGGACATCATGTGGTCCTGATAGAATAGGGACAGAGCAGTTTCTACATCTGTGCACAGGGAATTCCGTTTTGCTTGCCATTATGCAGGACATGTGAAAGCTCCTCCATTACACATCTGAGGACAGGCCAGACGGAATCCAACAGTAGGCAGACTCTGCATGACAGTTAAATGTGATAGAGACCAGCAGTGGCACTCTGCTGAGATGTTTCTGCCACACACAAAGCTTCCTTCACGTTGTCAGAAGAAGAGTAGTATATGCAAGAGAGCAGACTGTGTGGAGAGCAGCAGTGGGACAGGCAGACCAATTCATGCAGAGGGAGACTGCAGCTTGTAGTGGGTTAGCAGTGGTCCCTCCCTCTCTGGGTCAGTGGGAGGCTACTCCGCCTCACTAGGTCACTGGGAGTCATTCACAATTAGGAAATTAGCAACAGCCAGCCTGTGGCTGTGGCCAACTGTCCGGGCAGAGCGGTAGTCAGTTGGGGTCTCTACCCTGCAATCAGGGACAAGGAGCAAACAGTTATGGGTCCCGGCCCGCAGTCAGGGTGGGAGTAGCAAGGAGTCTGTAGTTCGCACCTGTACCCAGGGCCAAGCCCTTAGTCAGGACAGGGCCGTAAGGAGTCTATGGCTCGGGTCCATATTCAGGGCCGAGTAGCAAGAGGGTTGGACATCTTAGCTCCGGCAGATGGCCGATGAACACAGGCTTCTTCGCCTAAAGAGGAGGGACTGCCACCGCAGGGATGAGGTGGCAAGGGTAGGGGGACGCAGGCCCACCCGACTCCACTGCATCCCAGCCCAGAGCCCTAACAGTGGCAGAGTGGTCTGCCACTGGGTCAGCGGGGAATCCAGCCGCAACACGCTGACCGGGTCTCTGGCAGCAATGCAGCCAGATTAAGGTTGGCTGCCCCAAGGCCACTTCCTCCGCTCACCTCAAGTTGTACCTGGATCCACAGGGGGTCCTTCGCTTCATCTGGATAGAAGGCCCATGGTAGTCCCAGCACCTGCTCCGTGGCTTGGTCAGCGGGTGGCTCCAGCAGCTCTGGCCATTCCTTTGCACCGCAGGGGTCCGCTGCAGTCTCGCAGCTCGGGAGCAGGCAAAAGGCATCTGGCTCCTTCAAGGGCTGCAGCCCAGCTGAGCTCCAGGACCCGCTTTTTATACTTCCTGTTCCTCTCTCTCACTTCTGGTGGGAGGGGCGAGCACAGCCTGGCTCCGCCCACCAGGGCTCGCAGCATGGTCCCTCCCCCCCTCTGGCTCAGTGGGAGGCCACTCTGCCTCACTACAGAGCTAAGTTGTATAATTAAACATTATTTTGAAAAATCTGCATTTGTTTTCACAGTAGAACTGAACAGCCCTCCCTACTGCTTTTACAGTCCCATGAAGAGATGGCTGTGAGTGCTGCAGGAACAGCTGTTACCAGGGATAGCCTATACTCTTGCCTCTTCCTCCCTGCATGTTTCTACGTCACCCAAAATAGTCTCTTGTCTCAGGTAGGGGAGAAGAAATCACCCCTATCTCTTTCTCTCCAATTGCCGGACAAAGGCTGGAGGGACAGGAAGGGCATCGTGCCATAAACAAGCAAAAATGAAAAAGTTAGCCAAAGTGACACTTCGAGCTGGCATCAACCTGTTATATGGAAATCCTTCCCTTCAACCGAATCTATATTTGAAGAGGTGCTATCAGCAATGGAGGCAGTGCAGATGGAGAGGAGGGTATTTGTTTGTGACAGCAGCTCTCCAGGCTGGCACAGGATGCATATGTGGAGTTAGGCTGCTGGTGTGGTACTACTGTAATTATAATAATTTCCATTGACAAACTTTCTTCACAAGCCACAGTGAGGGAGAAAGAGTGGAAAGGAAGGGAATGTGAAAGCAGTCTTTTCAATCCATCAAATAATATCTACTCTATGGTTTGGCCCACTCACTAATATGAATAGGAACTAAACCCTCAAAAACAAACAGAGGGGCAGATAAATGTGATTGCTTGTTGTTATTTGCTATATTTCTACAGAAGCTCTCCATTGTGTCTTTCTCATTTTTTTGTTCTGATATTTTGTCATGTTATTTCTGGTGGGGGTGGTGGGGGGAAAGGAATCTTGAAAGAGGTACCCTGTTCATACAGAAAAAAATCTGGCTTGTGCACATCTGAAGTAGCATGATAAAGGATTTGATCCTGCTTGGACTATTTTGTGTGACATGGAGACGTGAAGGATGCCAGAGACAAGACTGCAGTACCAAAACTCTCATTAACGTCAGTGTTGGGAGTATGAGACCCGCTGTGTTCCAATATGTGGATTTTGTGCTAACAATTGTGTTTTTCTTCTAAGAACGTTTCAGGTTCACAGAGTGACGCAAACCTTGTTGGATTAGAGCCATTCAGCACCTATTTTATCAGTGTCTCTTCTTTTACAAGAGTTGGAAATGGCAATCAGTTCAGTAACATTGTCCAATTCACAACAAAAGAATCAGGTTAGAAACAGTTTTTTTTTTCTTTGTTCATGAACTGCAGCATTGTCTATGCAGATTTCTTTTTATAACTGAACAGCATTCTTCCTTTGCTCTCCAAATGTAATGGAACTCAGAACTATATCATTGTCACAACATGCACTCGCATTCCTATTGTACCTGATAGGTGAGGTCTTTACTTTTCAAGTTCGATGTTAGAAGTCTGAAATTAGAAATATCCTCAATTGAACAGATAGGCATATATGGCTCCTATAAATCTTTCTGTAGCACACAGATAGTAGGAGAAAAATTAGATAAATATCAAACTTTGGAGACTAAAGTTATATTTTAGATCACTGTGAAAGCAACTAAGTTACAGTAATATCACAGGCAGCTGGACAAAGAGATGGCAAATGAATCAGAAGCTACTTTTTAACAAATACAAATGTTTAACATTTTCTGATAACTTATTTAGGGAACAAAGGCAGTCACTAATTAAACATCTTCCTTTGTGATATCTCAGTCTTTCTGACAACTGGGAAGAACTATGCACTATAATTGTTTTAATTAATTAACCATTTACTAGCCGCATCTTGTGCTTGACACATATCCTTTGAAGTTACAGAAGCTAGAAAACTGCCTTTTTCCTTTCTAAACAGAGAAGAAAGCAGAGAAGAGAGGGGAAGAGAGCACAGGCAGGATTTAGCCTGCTAGGAAGTGTTTATTTTAAATGACTAGTAGCTATTTAATATATTTTTTTACTAGTAACAAATGTTTATCATGTTGTTAAAAGTGATAAAATGATAACATGAAAAACTGAAAATTCTCTAAAGCTATAGGGCCAGATCTCAGGGTGCAGGCAAACTATACGGAGCTCAACTCAGAGCATTTGAGCAAAGATAGTTTATAGCCTCTGTACAAGGCTGCTGCTGCTGCTGGGCCAACTCAGGGTATCCCTCAGGCTGCCCTAGTTTACACTGGCTGCAACAGCCACGGAGCAGCAGGATTTAGGGGCCTCCTTCTCCTTTTTCTTTTCTATTCTAGCACCGGAAAGGAGGATAAGCCCCTACATTGGCTGTACAGCCCTGGAAGTTCACTCTGGTGCTGGCATCCGAGCCATGGTGTTAGACAGCTCTTGACTAGTTAGAAGGCCGAATTTCTGAATGCCATTTTATAACATGTTTGTCATGTACTTCTGTACCAGATCTGGACTGGCTACAGAGCTTGCTTATACACACCAGATGTGTTGACTAAAAGATCTTTTAATGCTCTGCCAGGCATGGCTGGAGTTTTACACACTCTGCCACCTAGTGGCTGAACCGTATAATACAGTTTAGCATTCCCTTAGATCAGTGATGGGCAATCTGCAGCCCATTACGGTAATGTGATTGCGAGCTGTGAGACATTTTGCTGACATTGACCATCTGCAGGCATGGCCCTGGCAGTTCCCAGTGGCTGTGGTTCGCCATTCCTGGCCAATGGGAGCTTTGGAAAGCGATGGGTCGCAGGTACGCGCTGGCCGCCGCTTCCCACAGCTCCCATTGGCCAGGAACAGAGAACTGCAGCCACTAGGAGCTGCAGGGGGCCATGCCTGCGAACGGCTAACGTCAGCAAAATGTCTCACGGCCCACAATCAGATTACCCTGATGGGCCGCAGGTTACCCACCACTGCCTTAGATCACCTCCTTTAAGTTCTACATTCCTACCATTTACAAATTTTACACTATCATGCTATCTTTGAATTTCAGTACATATCAATCTGTTAAATGTCTCTCGTTTTCTAATTACATGACCCGAACGCATAGCAGCTTGATCATCTGAGTTGCCAGGACTGGCTGTGGTCATTGGAATCCTTGAGTCATCTTGTTCTGCGCCAGCCATCTGTAGAGTTTGCTCTGCTGATTGTTCTTTCTGAGGAATAAACTGTAGATGTCGACGGTTTCTGTTGAACTGTCCACTGTCGCGCTCGATCACTATGATCTGGGCACTGAATTCTTTTTCTTTATGATAGCTGGAGTTGTCCATCCTTTTTCTCCGTCCAGTTTGACATGAACATGGTCACCAGATTCTAGACCTGGCAGTTTTCTACCTGAGAAATGTCTGTTATAAAAGTGTTCATAAGCTCTTTTCACCTTTTTATCTGATCTGGCTACTCTCTTTATGTCTGGCCTCTTTGGAAATAGGTTCTTTTCCAGAGCTGGAACAGTAGTTCTGAGTTGCCTTCCCATCAGGAGTTGTGCTGGACTATGTCAGTAGCCGCTATTGGTGTTGATCTGTAACTCAGAAGAGCAAGGAATGGATCTTCCTGCTGTAGGATTTTCTTGGCTCTCTCAGCTTCTCCATTTGCTTGTAGGTATTGTGGACTGCTAGTAATATGATCAAAATCGTATTTCATTTGGAATTACTTAAATTCTGCTGCAGTTAATTGTGGTCCATTGTCCATCACTAGTTGTTCTGGAATACTGAAGTGAGCCAAAAGTACACTTCAGTTTCTTGATAACACTGCAACTTGGTATGTCTTTCAAGTACATTATTTCTGTATACCTGGAAAAGGCGTCCATGATGCTGAGGTAATGGTGTCCTCTGAATTCACATAACTTTTCAGCTAGTCTCTTCCAAGATCTGTCTGGTAGAGGTGGTGTTATTAAAGGTCCTTTGTGTTGTGTTGGCCTGTTAGTTCTGCAGTATTCACATGCAGATACAGTATTCTTTATGTCCTTGCTGATGCCTGGCCACCACACTGACTGTTTCACCTGTTCACAGCATTTTGTTAATCCTTGATGTCCTTTGTGGGTGAGGTTTAGTATTTCTGCTCTCATTTAGTTTGGAATTGACTTTAATCATGAGTCCATTTGACTCGCATAATTGTCCATGCACTGCAAAGTAACCTCTTTTCACTTCCTTAGTGTCCTTTAAATATGTGGGCCAGTCACCTCCGTGTAACTTAGAACATCCTGAAGCTGCGTGTCTGTCAAAGTTGCTTTTTGTAGCTGTTGTAGTCTCTCTTCTGCCACTGGTTTGTATCATTTTCCACACCTTTACATCATCTTCGAACTGTCTGCTACTAAAAGACTTTTTCCAGGTGCATATTTAGCATTTGGATTAAATCACATTAACCTAAGCAATAGACATTGTTATCTCAGTGGTGCTTGATCCAAGTCTTTCCCACTGATGAGGGTTACATGTAGTTTATGGTCTGTTATCAGTATAAACAAATCCAATCCACAAAGATACCTGTAAAAGTTCTAACATGCCCATATGCTTGCCAGGCACTCCTTTTCAATCTGTGCATATCGTTTTCTGCTTCTGTTAGTGTGAGAGAAAAACGAAGCTGGCTTCCACTAAATTCCATGTTGTTGAAACAATGTACCATGTAGGGCCATAGTTAATTGCATCCTCACTGACCATTATGGATTTGTGCATATCATAGTACTTGAGACCTGGAGCTGTTGAGATAATTTCTATTACCTTTTTATAGGCAATTTCTTGATATGGCCCCCATAGCCAAGTTATGCTAGACTTCAGTTCATTCAGTGGTTTTGTCACTGTAAAAAGGACTTATGGATACCCAACCAAGGTAATTTACCATCCCTAGTATATGTCTTAGTTCTGGAACATTTGTTGGTGCATTCAATTAATTGCTTTTACTTTCTTGGGGCTAGGACTGATTCCATCTTTGTTTATTGTCTGCCCCAAGAGCTCGATTTGGTGTAGGCAGAAAATGCATTTTTCCTTGTTTAGCTTCAGACTGACTGATGAGGACTTTGTTGAGGGTTTTATTGTATTCTTCCATGGAAGACCCATATATAAAAATATCATGCACTAAGACTACAACTCCATTTGTATTTGTTAACAGTTCTGCCTTTTTCTTTGGAAAATTTCAGGTGCATTGGTAATCCCAGAAGGTAATCTTTGAAAGCAGAATCTCTCAAAGAGTGTGATAATTGTTAGTTTAGCACTTTCTTTGGCTAAAGGAGTTTGCCAGAATCTGCTCGAGACATCAAACTCAGATAATACTGTAGCGCTTTTCACTTTGGAGAGGGAAGTCATCCAGTGTTGAGAGGATATATTTTTTTCTTACAACTGCTCCATTAAGTCTTTTAAGATCCACACAGATTGTATTTTTCCATTTTTCTTTATAACTGGTACTATTCAGACACACTTGCTGTTGGCTTAGACCTTTTCTCGATTACGCCAGTCTTCTCCATTCTCTGTAACTCAGTTTTCCCTTTATGGAGTAATGGGAGAGGAATCCTTTAAGATATATGTACACTATATGGTTGAGCATTGTCTCAAGGTTTTTTTTATACTGCATCTCATTTCAACAGTCCAATCACCAAATATTCCATTGAGTTCTTCCACCTCCCTCATTAGGCTCATCATGGCTGCCACGTTGTGGCTGAGAAGGCAGTTGGTCTGTGATCCTTTGATCAAATACATTCTGAATGCAAAGATTTTGTCTTTGTAAGTTGTTTTTGTAGTGAACTGGCCCATGCAATACAGAATACCTCTGTGGATAGTCAGAGCTGTGTCAGGTGACTTCAGCTCTCGGAGGAGTTGAAGGTGATTGTAAGTCCCTTATGAGATGACTGTGACATCAGCTCCTGAGTTACTTTTAAAGTCAGTAGTCTTGTTATGAATATTCAGTCATCATAAGTGATAGATCCCAGAAATGGCTCTTGATTCTTTGTAATATGAATCAACTCCCTAACTGCTTTGGTACAGCAAACAGCTGCACAATGTCCATATTTCATGCATTTATTACACCATGTGCCTCTGGCTGGACATGCATCATCTCTTGGGACATGACTGTTTCTACATCGTGTGCATGTAGGCTGGAATTTGTCCCTTTTAACCTGGGAGTTGTTTCTCCTTGCTTTAGGGATCTTATGGTAATGACTTTTAGCACTTGTGTGGCATTTTTTAACAGCTTCTTGTTTTTCAAGTTTGTCAAGTTGCTCTTGATTTTGGTCTCACCAGCTCAGACTGCTTTGCTTTCTGTATAGCTGTGGCTAGAGTTAAATCTCTTTTAAATTATATCTGCTGTGAAAGGGTTTTGTCTGTTAACCCAGTAACCAGCCTGTCGCTGATATCTTTATGTTTTGCATTCCCCAAATCACGGTTTTCAGCCAATGCATGCAGAGCTTATAAAGCATTTGATATTTTCCTCTGTTTCTTGAATTCTTGAGATGAAAACATGCTCTGTCATAAAACCTATTTCTCTGAGAGACAAAGTATGCATCGAACATAGCCAGAACCCTTTCAAAGTCATATTTGTGACTGTATTCAGTAAATTCAAAGGATGTAAGGATATGTTCTGCTTGCTTCACCACAGCATAAATTAAAGAAGATACCTGTATATCTCCAGTTTCTTTGTGGAGTTTGTTTGCAGTTTGAAATCTTGCAAAATACTGTTTCTAGTTTGACCATTGTGAAGATTTGTCAAAGCTGAAGTTCTCTGGAGCAGTGAAGAGTTGCATATGTATGAAATCCTGCAATCTTTGTTGCTTTGTTCCTTCTGTCTGCAACCTTTGTTGCTTTGTTCCTTCTGTTTACAACTTTTGTTGCTGTTTTCCTTCTGTTTCTGTTCTTAGTTTATTCCTGACTCCATGTCATGTATTTCTGTATCAAATATGGACTGGCTAGAGAGCTTGCTTAAACACACCAGATATGTTCACTATAAGATCATTTAATGCTCTGCCAGATATGGCTGAGGTTGGTTTAAATAAGGTATCTTACACACAGTGCCAACTAGTGACTGTACAGTATCATACAGTTTAGCATCTGTTACAGTCTATATTTTTAGCAGCTGCATGTCCAACCATCCTTACAGTAGGATTTTGTCCTGTCCAGCAGCTACAGAGGCAGTCATCAAAGCTGTCTCTTTTGGTCAGTGACCTCATAGCCTCTCCCACATCCCTCCTTTCAGAAGGCTGCCTCCACTGGATGACACATTGCCCTTAGAGTGGGACCAAGTAATTTTAAAATTCTTTCTTTATGTTTTCTGCTGGGCTCATTGGGCCCCTCCCCTTTTCAGCCATTTTTGGCCACTGAATCTAAGGGCTGGTCTACAATTGAAAGTTATTGTAGAATAAGTTAGGGTGTGAATTTAAAGTGGACTAACTTTTCCTGAATGACTCTATGTGTAGGCACTCGTATTCTGAAATAAGAGCGCCATATTCCAAATGAGCCTATTCCATTTAAACTAATTTGGAATAAGGCACACACATTCTGGAATAACCTACATTTTATTCCCACTCTTTTTGGAGCACCTCTGCCCCACTGCAGCTCTCCCATGCTCCAGCAAAAAAATTTTTTTTTAAATCTCCCCCAGTTCAATGTTCTCAATTGAGTAGTCTGACCTTTTATCAGCTCTTGCCATCTAGTTTAATTTTTCTGTGACTCTCCTCTGAGCAGATCCCTCACAGCCACACATCTGCTCCTATGAGACCAGTCCTCGTGTCTCAGTTTTCCCCATCTGCTCCATGCTGCAGTTTGGCTTTTATGGACTTTGCCACATCAAGTTCCTGCTTCTTCCAGCATGTTCCTGTGTCATGGAGGTGTTCGATATCAGGATTGCAGACAAGCAACATAAAAAGATACTGCAGTCCATAAGTGCTACCTTGTGTATAGAGTCCCACTAAGTCTTTGAAACACAGGGACCGGTCAGTGCATTCCCCTTATCCTTGCCTGGATGCTACTATAAACTACCCTGGGGTGTGAGATGACATAAAACTAGCCCCAGAATTGAGGAGCCACAAACATCTCTTTTGCATCTCCCTCACCCAGGTGCATTCAGCACTAACTGGGTAAAGGATTCAGCCTTATGCCTTTATTAAAAATACAAAGTGATCTCCTTTCTTCTGTAGATGCTACTTTTGAAAGGAGTACTCTTCAAACTCTGGAGAGAAATATATGTATTTTTAAAGAGATCCATTTTCCTCTGTACCTGTAGTAATTAGTATGTTTCCCTCTATTTCTGGGACATTGATGCTAGTCAATTCCCTACTGTATGGATTACTGGACATCGCTTCACTAGAGAGAGAAAAAAACAATGCCTTTTCCTGTTGATTCTTTTCTCTTAGTTAGTACATCCCACAATCTGACTTTCCCTCAGAAAATTTAATCAGCTGTTCCATACCTCGGAGCCAGTTGTTTGTTTTCATGTTAAATATATAATACTGGTTTTACCTATGAAATTTGATGACCTGCCCAGGAAGCTTTACAAGAATTCATCTTGTGGGGAAAGCAAATGGGTGGGACCAATAAAGTAACTGCTTTGAAGTGACAGCTTTGAAGACTCCTCCAAAACTCCTGGGCAGGACACAACACTACTGTAGGGATTACCAGCCATAGGGTACAGTAAATGAGAGAAGGAAAGCTAAAGGGTAAGTAAAATTTTCTTTTGTAGTGTATCAGTTTCACATTACTGTATATGTTCCACTGTGCTGCTGATTAGAAAAAATGGGGGAAATGTGGGTATAGATGGGAGAGAGAAGGGAAAATGGAAGTTGGAGCATATCGTTAGTTTTAGGAAATATAATGTACTATCACTCTTTTCATTTCAAGCACTGCTTCAGTAATGTTAATAATTAGTGGAATAAAGCTTCTATAAAATATAATCAAGGACATCTCTTCATTTAAAACACTTCTAGCCCAGTGTTCTCATTACAGTATTAATTTATCTGGCATTGGAATGCATGACCCTTATTATAAACATTATGCCTACATCTCTGATTATACTATAATGTAATTACTCTTTTGATTGTTTGGAACTGTTAACCTTTGGTGCATATGTATCTTTTAAGCTCCAGATGTTGTCCAGAATGTTCAGTGTACTGCAACAAGTTGGCAGTCGATTCTAGTGCACTGGGATCCACCTTCTAAGTCAAATGGAGTGATTACACATTACATCATAATATTTGAAAGGAATTCTACAAACATTTCTGCCTATGATAAGGTGCATACTTTCAGAGATCTGCTATCAAATATTTCTTACCAATTTAAAATAAAAGCTGCAACATCTGCTGGTGAAGGAAAAGAAAAGATATGCAATGCCAGCACATTTCCAGAAAAAGGTAACAATTTTTGGATTTAAAATTTTACTTTAATTTAAATGACAATTGAATATTTAGATCAGTGATGATATTCTTACATTTACTACAGCATCCCAATCCTTTCCCTAGTCAAGTATAATCACAGTTTAAATCTAATATCAGATAATGAGAAATGGGGCCTGCTCTCCAACCCCTGTGTTGAAATGTCCTTTATTGTAATCCCAAGGGACAGAGTTTATCATGGAATAGCCAGTGGAGAAAGTCAGTGGGACTTGGAAGTACAAATGAAGAGTTATGTTCTTGCCATGTTAAGTTTGAGTTCTTATTTTATTCATACTGTATCACCCAGTCCTAGTATGCATTGGCTCATAGCTAGATTGGGTATGTTTTCATCTTTTTGTTGGTAGCCTCACCTACTGAATATTATTACTGGGAAGGTTTTGTATGAGATAGTGGTATTTCTGCCAGTGACATCCTTTGTTTTAATGTTAAATAGCCAATACTGCGAATTCACTCATTAGAAGTGCTACCATTCAGAGGTTGTTAATCAATAAAATCATTTAACTTCCTCCAATGTTTGTCATCTTAAGCTACCGCTGAAATGAACTTTTTAACAGGGGAAAAGACGGCAACCATATAGACAGTTTAGGGAAATTAATTCCTGTGCCTTTTTAATAAAGAGGTTATCTTCACACTTTCTTTTTATTAGTATATATTTAATAATGGGGCTACTTTTTCAGTGGCACTTCTTGCATGAACGGGAGCTTTAATTTGCATCTCCAGCCTTGAAAGGCCTGGATACATCCAGAAACATATAAGCTCATTCCCAGTTGGAATATGTTTTTCTCTCTCATCTCTAAAATAATAAGAACTCATTAAAACACATAATATTACTTATTAGTTTCTCTCTGGTAATTGGAACCAACTATCTAATTGTCTTTCATAAATAATGATGAGTCAGATAAGTATGATGTTAATGTCATATCAGAAATTCTTGCTTACAGTACTAGTGGGGGTATATTTGAAAGTCTATTATAGTGTAACATTTTTCATAAAGTTGAGGTCAATGGGGCTATTCACATGCATGTGAGGGATACAGGGTTGGTACCCAGTTTGAATCGGAATAAGTTCTGCCTGAATATTAAAGAAGTGAAGTGTAGTTTGTCCAGCTCTGATAGTTCAAAAAAGCTTCTAGTAAGTGACTTGGTGAGGCCTCATCTGGAGTACTGTGTCCAGTTTTGGGCCCCACACTACAAGAAGGATGTGGAAAAATTGGAAAGAGTCCAGCGGAGGGCAACAAAAATGATTAGGGGGCTGGAGCACATGACTTATGAGGAGAGGCTGAGGGAACTGGGATTGTTTAGTCTGCAGAAGAGAAGAATGAGGGGAGATTTGATAGCTGCTTTCAACTACCTGAAAGGGGGTTCCAAAGAGGATGGATCTAGACTGTTCTCAATGGTACCTGATGACAGAACAAGGAGTAATGGTCTCAAGTTGCAGTTGGGGAGGTTTAGGTTGGATATTAGGAAAAACTTTTTCACTAGGAGGGTGGTGAAGCACTGGAATGGGTTACCTAGGGAGGTGGTGGAATGTCCTTCCTTAGAGGTTTTTAAGGTCAGGCTTGACAAAGCCCTGGCTGGGATGATTTAGTTGGGAATTGGTCCTGCTTTGAGCAGGGGGTTGGACTAGATGACCTCCTGAGGTCCCTTCCAACCCTGATATTCTATGATTCTATGACTTTCTAATTCTTAGGTAGACACAAAGCAAATACAAAAATCGGTGGAGAGATATATTAAAGTCTGATTTGCCAGAAGTTTAACAAATTCCTCTTTATTCTGTGATCTATATTGTATGGACCTGGGAGCTATGCCTATTTTTACTTAATTTTCCATCTAAGAAATATAAAATCTTGGGTTACTTTTTGTTTCTTTGCGATAAAATTATCTAGGGAGAATTCGTAAAATGTGATGCCTTTAATGACACTTGAATGTTGAAAGGGCAGATAATTGGAATTATAGCTGGAAGAATACGGACTAAACAGCATTAATGAAGATTCATTCAGATTCTGATTTGGCTGTTCAGTTCAACCATGCTTGTGTACCTTTTCATATGTTATTTGTGAACATTCTCATGCCTTTTATTTTGTTCTCATGAATGTATGGGGGCATCTCTGTACTGCATAGGACTACTGTATTCACATGAAAACAAACATATTTGTATCTGAGGAAGAGTATCTGCTATTTGTTATTTACTTCTGAGTAATTGTTACTAGTTTTCATGTAAATATTTTAGTTATCCAATCAAATAATAGACAACACTTCCACATGACTTAGTGGTGAATGATGAATAGTGAATATTTGAAGTGAACAGTCCATAAACCACCCAAAAACTGAAAATTGTATGTTCAAACTATTTAACAGATCTTTATGAACAATTAAAATATTGGATACATTGGGATTGCTATAGAAATTATTGCTAAACAGAATAAAGAGCTGTTAGCTAACTGATCTACAGTGAATAAGGTTACCTAATTCACTTGGAAAATATAGATTTAGAGAATTTACAGTTTCAATCCAACTCCCGCTGAAGTCAGTAGAAATATTCCCATTGACGTCAATTGGATGATAACCTTTAAGAGGCGCTCCCCCATCAAAACAGTGGGAATTTATTTTAAAAGGATATATGATTAGGGTGACCAGATGTCCCATTTTTAAAGGGACAGTCCCATTTTGGGGGACTTTTTCTTATATGGGCGCCTATTACCCCCCGCCTCCTGTCCCATTTTTTCACAGTTGCTATCTGGTAACCCTATGTATGATAGGATATTGGAATATAGTCCATTATTTTATTTTTTGACTGATATAATTTGAGATATTTTTCTCATTTATTTGGGCATAATGTTTTCTCTGCATCTTTTGTATTATTGGAAAAAATCAATTAATTTATAGATTTCAATGTGGCACCATGTAATGTTATGTGTGGGTTAGGTATTTATTTCATTGGAATGACAGGGCATGACTGAAAACTCATTTAGCTTTGCAACCCCCATTTTAGTGCATTTTTCAAATTTTTATTCTTGGGGGAAAAAAGTTTATTTTATTAGTTATATTTACAACCGTACCTGTCCAACATTTTAGGTGCAGAACATTAATGCATTCAAAAACTCAGTAGATCAAATTGAGAATAAAAGGAACTTCCAGTCCATCACAGTAAACTTAAACTTCTCTCCCTCCATCCTTTGCCATTCAACCCTACTCAGACCCTCAAAAAACTTCCACCTGGAAAAATCTCGGGAAATAGCATCTTGTATTATTTTCTTGAAAGTCTTCTAATCTGGACTCTGATGGACCAAGGGTGAAGTGATCACCAACCCCTTCATGCCCTGATTCAGCAAAGCACTTAAGCACATTCTTAATTTTATGCATGTGCTCAAGTCCTCATGCAGTCAATAAGACTTAAACACACGCTTAAAGTGAGGCATGATCTTAAATGCTGTGTTGAATTCTGAGAGATATAAGCGTATGCTTAACTGCTTTACTCTATCAGGGCCTACACTAGCTATAATTTTACCGGGAGACATTGCTTTTTTAAACACAAATTTGATTTATTTTGGAATACCGTGTGCATTATTAATGAGAGATTTGCCTGAGTAAGGGCTGCAGGACTAGGCCCTAAAACTACAAAATATGGATTATTGCTCTAAAAGAACGGTAGCTCAGACTCGTGTTGTTTAACATTTGGTTTAAATTTTAGCACTTAGTCATATTTACAACAAACTGGTTATTAGTAGGACAATATCTTCTTAACTGTGTGTTCACATGAATTGTTTTCTGATGAGTGGCTACTAGGAATCGAAGATTCATGGTAGGGAATGGAAACAGTTTTATAGCTGTTGTCAGCTTCTTATTTATGGTGATCTAAGATTAGTTACAGAATACATAGCCAGCACTGAGTCACTGACAATGCATTTATTTTTGACACAAAGTGAAATCAAATTTGGTTCAGTGTCTCATTGCATAGTGTCTAACCTTTACATTCCTTGCAAAGACTATTTGATTTTTTTTATGTAAACTTGTTCATATCTGGGTATTACTAAACATGGATCATGAAGATTAAATTTATGAGGAGATTAGTGTTTGGTGTCTAATCTAGCTTTGCTGTCATGGTAAACCACTTGTACCAGGGTAGAGTATGTTATGACCCACAAAAAATCTATGAACTTTGTGGTAGTTACATTACTTTGTGTTTAAATATTTTATATAGGATATGAAAGATAATATAGCAAGATTTTAGGACTGAATAACTATCCTTAGATTATATCCAAGGAAAGATGCATATTATAATGGGATTTCATTAGGGTTGGGTGAATTTTCAGAGGACAAAAACTGCCTTAAACTGGTAAGAAAATGTTCTCTAAAAGATTCTCTCTATTTTAAACCTGTCCAGGTTTACCAAACTCTAGAGTCTAGGACAAATGTAATAGTCATTTGCAAATAAAAATTAAACATATTAAAGTACCATTTTTAATTCCAAAATGTTAAACAATTAAAAATAGAAACTCCTATTATGTTTCATTTGTAAATTTTATATTTTACTCAATCCATGCTCACTGTTTCTTCTGCCCTGAAACTTTTAGTTACACACACACACACTAAATTAAACATACCATTTTCAGCATGAAGAAAAGATATCAAGTTAGTTTGCCAGGCTCTATTTTCAGTGTTATGGTGCACGGTGTAATTTTCCTTACTGTCTCCTAGTATTATTTAATATTTATATTGTGATAGCACCTAGGGTCCTCAACCAGCTCAGGATCCCATTGTGCTAGGTGCTGTTCATACATATATAGTAAATGACAGCCCCTGCCCCTGAGAGATCCTATACTTTCTTCTTCATAGATTCATAGATTCAAAGGCCAAAAGGGACCATTGTGATCATCTAATCTGATGTCCTATATAACACAGGCAATAGAACTTCCCCAAAAATAGTTTCTACAGAATATCTTTAAGAAAAACATCCAC